GGATCAAGGCATAAACCTCTACTCCTGTTCAGAAGACTGAGGAGGAGTATGAACCTGGCGATAGGAGAACCTCTCTACTCTTATTGTGAAAAAATAAAAAAATAGTAAATAAAATTTCATAGTTTAGGCAGAGAAAGCATAAAGTTGAAGCAAACTTCACAATGAACTGAAAAACCAATCGTAAACAAGAAACAAGGGATAAACCTCTACTCCTTTTTAAAAGACCGGAGTGGAGTGTGAACTGGACAATAGGCGAACCTATCTACTCTGATTGAGGAAAAATAAAATAAAAAACTTGGCAAAGTTGTTTAACTGCTGTATCAAAAAAAAGAAATGATTCTCAGATATAGTAATTTTCTGCGCGTAGCTGTGGCACAAGGCCGAAAGTAGGGAGCTCTCAGTGAGGATCGAACTCATTACTCTGTCATAAGTGTTCTAGCGAGATAAGCTTGGTAGCCATTACACCGCCTCGAGGTACTCTACTGATATTCAGATATATGTAAGATGTCAAGTGTATTATCCTGTTTTCCATAATATCGCTAAGCATTTATCGCCATCACAATTTTGCTCCATCAGCCTCCTTAGTGTTGAGTTGGTTCAGAAATCTGGTAACACAGTAATTGCGAGTTCAAACCCTGGGCCTGGTAGTTCAACTTGAAAACAGGGCCAGCAATAACTGAAGAGAACAAAACGAGATACCTTTTGATAGTGGAACGAGAATACACCACTTTGTAGAAGAAATAAAGTGTCAATTTCGAAATATCTTGATTAGTCTGTTTTTTACGGATTATCAATCTTTTCCAGGTTATTTAAAACCAGAAAATATTTTTAGATGGTAAGAATTTTTTTGGAGATAATAATGATTTACTTATAAATGTCTTACTAATTAACCCATAGCTGGGAGGGAGAAAACGTGCGTTCATGCCTTTCCCAAGGTATTTGTGCATAAGCGAATATAACGAACTCGACTGAAATTGGAAATCGAAGATCCGTTATCCATTACACCACCCGCACATTCAATCTTACAGGACTTGGTATTCTCAAGCGGTTACCCATCTAGATACTGACCAGGCTTGACGTTGCTTAACTTCGATGATCGAACGAGAATCGGTGTTTTCAACGTCATATAGCCCGAAATTCTTTGATGGTTACCCGGATCAACAGACACCTGAAAAAGACCGCAGGGCAAAACGTTTTGATAATAACAACAAAAATGAGGATATTAGTCCGAATGTAAATATTGTATATGTAAACGTCCGCCTTCTCTTTTATTTAATATTAACATGTGCTAAGACTACTGCTTATTCCCCTTTTTCTCTCCCGCCCTTTTCACCTTCTCCTTCCCTGACAGTCCTAGTATGATGCATACTTGGGGGAGGTAGTAAAATTGTCTTCATCGACACTTTAGCATCTTGAATCTGAATCTAAAAATGAACAGTCCAACGTGAAAACTACAAATTGGAGACAGCAAACCAAACAAGTACAACAATTTAAATATCTGGGAATTCTTTTAACAGAGAACAGAAAATGTGGCAGTAACAGCCGAACGCGCATTGAAATATCAAATAATGCCTTCCAAAAGCTAAGCAAAGTATTAAGAAACAGGAAAAACTGGTTAGAAACAAAGAAAAGAGTACTGAACTGTTACGTAATATCAGTCATTCTACATGGCAGTGAATGCTGGACAATCTCCTCACTGATGAAGCAACAGAATAGGATACCTAGAATATCGTGGATTTAGCATGATGAAGTTTGAGATAAAATGGAAAGAAAAAAGAGACTTATACTTAACATCAGGAAGAGATAGTTGAAATTTGTACGGTACATAATGAGGAGAGAGGGTTTGGAAAATTTGATACTCTTAGGACAGATTGAAGGCAAGAGGAACAGTGGAAAACAACATTATCTAGCAAGCTTTAGTAAATGGATGGCGGGAAAAGGTTTAGGAGAGATAACAAAATTCATTAAGAGCTCCAAAGGACAGAGAATTATGGAAGACCACAATCGCCAACGTCCTGAAGAGACACAGTACATAGAAGAATCTAAACTAATCTCACCTCGGTCTAACAATTTTTAAACACCTCCTTACTTCAGCGGAAGGTGGCAAAGGGCGATTTTTCCTGTTGAATTTCAGGTAGACGTGGAAGAAAAAGTTTCAATTTAAATGTTTAATATTCACCTCAGAAATTAGTGCATTATCAACGATTATTTCGAACAGTACACATACCCTATTTATATTTATATCAGTAAAGATCTAACTAGCTAATCATATTTTGTTTTAATCTTTCTTTCTTTTTTCTTTCTTTTTTTCTCAATTAATTCATTAATTTATTTCGTTATTTCTTTAGTTTAGTGCTTCGTTAAATAACCAAAATAGTATCTTATTTTACTTGCTTCTTTGTTCGTTTCATTCGTTCTATTATTGATTCCTTAATTTTCAATGGACATTCATTTTTACACATTTTTTTCTCTTCACTCAAACTTGTCTTTCTTTCCTTCTTTCTTTTATAATTCAAACGTTCTTTTCATTTTTTTCTTTTTGCCATTTTACACTTCACTAAATAATCATATTTTCTTTCTTTAGAGATTTTTTTCATTCTCTTCGTTTTTCATTCCTTTATTCCATTGCTCATTCTTTAATTTCTGATGACTATTTTTCACATTCTTTCCATTAACTTACAATTTCGTTTTCCACTTTCTTTCTTTCTTTCTTTCTTTCTTTCTTTCTTTCTTTCTTTCTTTCTTAATTCAGTGATATATTTCGTTATTTCTTTAGCTTAGCCCTTCAGTAAATAACCAAAATAGTCTCTTATTTTACGTGATTCTTTTTTATTCATTCTTTGTTTGTTTCTTTGTTCCATTGTTGCTTCCTTAATATACAATGGACATTCTTTTTTCTCTTCCTTTCTTTCTTTCTTTCTTTCTTTCTTTCTTTCTTTCTTTCTTTCTTTCTTTCTTTCTTTCTTTAACCCAGTTTTGTCAGATTTACTCTTTCTCGCCAGCCTGGTGGAACATGTACACTGAAAGTAGGCAGTGTAAGCGTGGCTATATATATATATATATATATATATATATATATATATATATATATATATATATATATATGTGTGTGTGTATGTGCGTGTGTGTATATATATTTCTCATAATTTCCGAGCTCCAAAACGAGACAATTCTGAATTTTTATTAGGACTGACATAGACACACAGACACACATAGAATCACATACACATGCATGCACGCACGCGAAAACACACACACACATACACACACAAATAGTGGGAGTTTATGTTTCTACCGGCGTATGAGGGTAGACTCCTAAACCTGGACCAAAGATCGATATCGGATCTAAAAGATGTTTTAACACACTCTCCAAAGCTATTTTTAACAACTCAAGTATCAGGGTTTAACCATAATGTTACTCTTTTAAGAACAGTCAGGAGGTACTGTCTGTATGATCGTGTCTTCAGGATTTCGGCGGTATAAATGTTGGTAATCGGCTACGAATAAGCAAGAGTTAAGAAAAGAATCAGACATTGAATTAAATGGGAAGCAGATATAGGGCTGATGAAAAAAATTGGTATTTTTCTTTGAGATATATGTGTTTGTTCAACACCCACAGAGTTAAGTTGTAGTTTATGTTGCAACTATAAAATCATATTCTTCTCTTATGAAAGTGGTATGTGAATAACATGCTTTGCTCGGAAGAAAATATCTAGGAAGAATATTAATAAATATCTTCCCATCGATAAACACACGCCAGACAGTTTTCATATCATCAACTTTCGTAAAACCCATACCTAGAGAATGTAAGATCCAGATACTTAATAGAACCTAATGTCTTTCATTTCAAACACCAAACATCCCCAAACAACATACATATCGACGCAACCAGCCCCGCAAGATCAACAAGCAGTATGATACAGAAACAGACAAAAACGTCATCATCCCACTATCATCTTCAAGAATTAAACACCCGGACATTACCAGACTGACACAATAATGACCACTAGAATCCAGGTGCGCACAGATGGTCACACGTAGTAACAACACAGAACAAAAAAAAACAAAAAACAAAATTGAACTAATCAATGAAAAGCAAACATAGAACTCAAGTTAACGGAACTTTCTCTTTCATAACTCAATTCCTAAGAAATTTCTGATGAAGCTTGAATAAAAGCGAAACATTTTTAGAAACGTTTCCTATTTGTTCTTTATTCTAACATTCTGTCGGATTATAAACATATATTTGACCCCAATTTACACACACACACACACACACACACACACACACACACACACACACACACACACACACACACACACATAGGTATATATAATGATAAAGATATAGTTTTGAGATATGCTATATTCATGGATAAAGTGCGCAAATAAAGCGGATATAAATATAAAAGTTGATACTAAGGTCAAACACCAAGCAGCGACAGTCTATTTCAGGCTTGACCGCAATCTTCAGGCTCTGAGTTTTGGCTCGGCTACTTATAGAAGGCACGGTGCAGTAATGGATAGCGGCTCGGAATCTGAGAGCCGAGTTCGAATTCCAGTTGAATCCATTACATTCACTTATCCTTGGGATATTCTTTTTCCTGCCAGCTGTAGGTAAGTAGCTGGATAGAGCTGGTTCTATAACCTTGGATGGCAACTGGTCTACCGCAGAAAGAAATGGCAACCTACTGCGGGAAAAATCTGCATCGTCAGTCATGTATCCAAAAATACATGATCGCGTAAGCGTGTATCACGTATGGCACATAACTGACTGACTTATATTCAGCGCTACATTATGTTAAGTAAGCTCTATTATATTTTCCTAGCGGTTTTTAGAAGAGCTGTAACGGTTGTCTCAAATTATTCTTGAGTTTATTAAGCAGAAATAATTGTGGAACAGAATGTGTTTATTTGTAATTATTTTATAGTATTATTTGTTAATATTTCATTCGTTATTTATTATTGACTAGCAGTAGTGCCCGGTGTTGCCCGGGGATATAACAGTAAGAGATAGATCAAGTATCGACCATCATAAAGACTGAAAAATAAAATTGACAAAGATTATTGTTTAAGGTTGACGGACACGCATGTCTTAATTAGTTTTTTTTTTTTTACGAATTGGTCAAACCCAAACTCAAACAAAAACATTGTTTTCAATGATTATGAGTCTCTACCGATTGAATAGAATTTTATTATAAACAATTGTCTTATAAATGGAATTTTTAAAGCATTCTGAATGTAAAAATAAAGAAAAAAGTGTGCAAGACAATAAGAAACACTACATGCCAAAAAAAGTGACGTTTTGTTGAAATCGGAACCCACACACACAAACAACCCGATGTGAGTTGTCCCCCTTCCATTTTCACGATGTCTCTTAATCGTGTTTTCAAATTGATTTTGTGCAAAAACAATTATATTTTTCCCATTTTTGGCGCTGTTAGAACCACCACAAGGTAATTTTATGTAGTCTTGTGAAGTTTTGTTGAAATCGGTTGAAAAATGTAGGAAATCCGATCCAATATATAAAAGTTACACACACACACACACACACACACACACACACACACACACACACACACACACACACACACACACACACAAAAATCTGCGTTTTATAATAAGTAAGATTATTTAATTATTATTATTACATTTACTAGTTTTTATATGTACGTTCGTAGTTTTGCTAATTTCTTTATTATTGTCTTTCAGGATAGTGGGTTGTCATAAAAGCAGTCCTTGAAACCTGCCATTTTTTGACACACTGAATATTTGTAAAATTGAGAGACAATTAAGTAAAAACTGATTTACAGGCACGTCGAGTGGTTGTCGAGAACCGAGATATTTTGACTATTCAATTTGTATTTATTTCGAATGACTAAAGCCATTGATCGTGTCTTTCTCATTTTCGTTCACTTTATGATTACGGTATTCGAAATTGTTATTTCAGCTGCCGCTGAACTTACAGCATTGCTTTTACGAGGTGAGCACTGAAAAGATATGAATTTGAATCAAATATGACAAAAGAAGGTGAATCTGGCCATAAAATTGCCTTTTATAGAACGGCGCTAATCTTGGTTTTTAATTGGAATTAAATTTCTCTGAGTCACGCACACTGAAATTTATAAACGG